TAGCGTTGCTGCTAGTTGCAACACACTCATTTTAAATCTACAGCTAAAATTATTTTGAGGCATCGCGCAAAGCTCACCGCTCGAGCGCGAGCGGTATCAATGTGAACGTGCACTAACGGTAACATTGGCCAGATATATTTTTGCCTTTTGCGCTGTCTTTCATCTTCGATAAAACGCTTCTTTCAACTTTACACTGCCGGTAGATCTTTATCTTAGAGTCTCACCTACATTTTTATAAATTATTACCTAAATAGTATTTAGGTCTAAATACCATATTACATTAACAAAAGTTTCATGCTCAGGTAATTTGTCCTTTTGAGCAATTTATTTTTTCTCAAATCACTTCAATTGATAAATGGGTGGACTCTAAAAGCTTGGTGAGAATGTTAATTGCTTCCCTGAAATGATACACATCAAGTTTTATTTTAATTTTATTTTTTTGTTTTCAAAACGGAGTATTTCTATTAAAAATCAATTGTTATTTTACATATTTTATCAGAGTATTTGAAGAACTATTTGTTATTACGTCTAGTTTCGTACATATACGTACCTTGAGTATTGTAACTTAAATTAAACTTCTGATACTGTTCTGTTCTAGTTTGGTGGCATTTTCGAGACATCTTTTTTCAGTCTAACAGAGTATAAATGGGATTAACCATTTTAGAACAAGTAAACATTTTTATGAAGAATACATTTTTCTCAAAATATTTATAATAAAAAAGTTTTTCCTCTTATAAACACAATCCAGGGACATACTGTATGTACAATAATATGCTTTACCATCACTTTAAATAAAAGACCAATACAATTTCTTTTTCATTTTTTTTTTCAAATTCAAATATATTAAATTAATATATTCATAATATAAGCATCTTGTACTGCATAATAGGTGTATATGCTATATCATCAACAATCCCAACTTAATATCTAGTACAGTTAAAGTTATATTTATATCAACAAAATATATAGGATGGTCATATATTATAAAACACTAATTATTAATTGGTATGATCCTATCGGTATTACTATACATTATATTAATATACCCATTTTGCGTATTTGGAACATTTATTATTAACATATCAGCGTTGTTGATTCTGGCTGCCGTTCTGGACACGTCATAAGTTCTTGGTATTGCAAACCTTCTTCTAACGGTTCTAGTGGTAGTATTCCCGTATCTGTTCACGTACCGTTGTTTAACTTCAACCTGAATAGTTTGTTGATCTAGAGTTCTTACTGCTATTCTTTCTCTGTCAAAAGCAGACACATCCACACGAATCTCGTACAAATCTCTGTCGATTCTGACGGTGGATGGTATGACGCTGTTGTCAGTATCGTAGTTCCAATCCGATACGGGTGTCAATCCCAAACTTGCACCGACTTGTGAAAGGACCCAACTTGGAACGTTCACGGAACCTTCGAAGTCGTCAGAGGAAACGTTCAGTTGGACTCGCTGCTGCCCCTTGATCTGGGGTATCGCCATCAACATTACTACTAAAACTGTTGTATGAAACGTATTCATCTTGTTCTCGTTGTATATCGACTAAGACTTAAGCTTTGTTTAATTCGAGTATCGTATTTAAACGATTACAGGGGATTAGTTAGCGAAAATCATCAGACCAAGGGCTATAATTACTATAAACCTTCTTTTTACGAGAGCCTACTATATTGTAATCGGCTGATATTCGAGAAAATATTGTAACATATTTAAGAGATATTTTCACTTTAAATTGTTAAGTTTATTGTTATCAGTTAGTAAAATATTTTTTATCATCAACAACCAATTCAGCTTTATTCTACTGTAAATTACAATGGCACATCTGTCATTGTTCCCATCTCCCATGTGTTTGCTTGCTGTACCGTTTGATGCCTTATCTGCGTTTTATTCTGTTTTCTTATGTTGTAGTTTCAGCTTATAGATTAAGGCATCTTCTTCACTTTTTCTCGGCTTCTTCTTGGTTTATCTTCTTATTTTCTTGGGTACCATTATAGTATTTTGGTTATAAATAATTTGTCATTTCTTAGTTCGTTAGATGTGCAATATTATTATTTCTTTATTTATACATATGTTATATTAACAAATATAATAAATGCAGGAAGTTTCTTGAAGCTTGAAATTATGAAATAGTTCTTTTTTATATTCTTTGGTATGTGGTGTTTTGTTTAAAATACACCCTTGTTTATTTTGTATTAACTTACTAGCTTTTTTAAATAAAATATCTCGGTTAGATTTTTTAGTTTTTTTTCACAATATTTTGAAGTTTTCACTTGTCACTTCAATTTTAAATATATTAATTTCCTGCTATGCGTTCCAATTGTACCAAATTATTTCTTTTTAGAAGAAAATAAACTACTTTGAAAATAAAATGACAGATATATCTATCACTGTCAAGGATTTTCTCGTTGGGCAGACTATACCTAATTAGCTTTTAAGTGTTATATTGATTCTTGTTGTGTTCTTTAGTGTAGACTCTAAATCGACTTTAAAATTATCTACACCGAAAGACTTTGAATTATCTACATCGAACCCAGTAAAAATGTAACAATATGATCGAAAAAAAAACGGCGTCAAGAATGGCTATGATCGCTGTCATTTTATATGTAAATTATATGGAGAATGTCATCGATCATCATTCCCAAGCCAAATGGAAGCCCCGTTTTTCGATCCTACTGTATTATAATAAAAATGACTATCTGTCATTTTTTCGATATTTTTTTGCATACATATATTTAACTTGACTATACTTTTTGTAAATTGGCCTTGACTATTTTTCTTGAACACTTCTAATTTGGTGACGGTTTAGTAACGTTTTTTCTTAGTCTAAATAAACAGAGTGAGACAGATTAATAATTAATCTGTCTTCAGCAGTAATTATTACTTCTAACGACTAGTGATAGGATTCATAATATGCTTTACAGCCACTTTAAATAAAGAAAAAAAAACAGCTTCTTATAAAATATATATTCAAATTTATTAAATTGAAATATTCGTAATATAAGCACCTTATACTGCATAATAGGTATCTGCTATATCATCAAGAAACATAACTTAATATCTATATGAATAATTAAAGTTATATATAAACAAAATATATGGGATTGCCATATAGAGAACGTTAATAACTAATTGGAATGATACTATCAGTATTACTATACATTACATTCATACACCCATTTTGCGAATTTGGAACATTTATTATTAACATATCAGCATTGTTGATTCTGGCTGCCGTTCTGGACACGGAATATGTTCTTGGTATTGTAAACCTTCTTTTAACGGTCCTAGTGGTAGGATTCCCGTATCTGTTCATGTACCGTTGTTTAACTTCAACCTGAATAGTTTGTTGGTCTAGAATTCTTATTCCTATTCTTTCTCTGTCAAAAGCTGATACATCCACACGAATCTCGTACCAATCTCTGTCGATTCTGACGGTGGATGGTATAACGCTGTTGTCAGTATCGTAGTTCCAATCTGATTCGGGTGTCAATCCCAAACTTGCACCGACTTGTGAAAGGACCCACCTTGGAACGTTTACGGAACCTTCGAAGTCGTCAGAGGAAACGTTCAGTTGGACTCTCTGCTGCCCCTTGATCTGGGGTATCGCCATCAACACCACTACTAAAACTGCTCTAAGACACGTATTCATCTTGATCTCGTTGTATGTCGACAAGACTTGAGCTTTGTTTAATTCGAGTGTCGTATTTAAACACTCACAGGGGATTAGTTAGCAAAAATCATCAGACCAAAGGCTATAATTACTATAAACAGAGAAGAACTTCTCATCAGAACCTACTATATCGTAATCGGATGATATATGAGAAATGATTGTAAAAATTTTAAGGGACATTTTCTCTTTATCTTTATAATTTTATTGTTATCAATTGGTAAAAGGTGTTTTATCATCAGCAACCAATTCAGCTTCATTTTGCCATAAATTACAATGATACATCTGTGATTATTCCTATGTGGTTAGTTGTTGTACCGTTTTATGCCTTATTCCATTCAATTTTCCAGTGTTGAGTTCCACGAAGTTCCACTTTAGATTAATGCATGTTCTTGACAGTGACATTTGTGTTTGTCACTTTAATGCTTGGGTAAATTGTACAGAATTAGTGGGGGGAAAGCAGTAATGGAGAAGAATTGTGAACTCACTTAACGACGAGAACCAAAAAGTAATGAGACACAATAAAATAATGAGACATTTAAATATCCGAGGGGCAGAGGAGAGATAACATCGGACTTCTCAGCTACAAAAAACTGACAATTCTTCTGATGCGTGTCTAGTACTCCGTCATTTTTTCGACGTCTCTGTCAAAGTCTTCCTTGGCTCATTGGGACAACTATACTCTTGAATATTAATTGGAATTTTTAATTAACGAATTAACGTAAATGAAATATGGGGGGGGGGGGTACAGATAAAAACAAATATATATTTCATTCTATTTTTATCTTATTTCTCATAATGCAATCAAGAAATTAGTTAATATTAATGTTATGTAGACAATAGACATATATAGTACTTTGGCCTGCTATCGCATGATAGTCCTGTGCGTTAATAGATTATGTTAAATATGGAAACAATTATTCTGATTTCGATTACTACATTTTGTATTTACAACTGCTAAATTATATATGAAGATATTTCTGGTTTAATATTAAGTGACACAATAGAATTATAAAATTGTCATTGAATTAATTGCAAATCATTTTCAAGGAACGACGAGATTATTACAATATGTATTAAAAAATATACAGTTCTATTGGATTTTCGGAAATAAAATGTTTTTTACATTTTTTTTATTTACTGTGTTTTGGTATTATACATGTATATCGAATGGTAAATCAGAAAAACAGAATTTGCTTTTCGGTGATAACATTTAAGCCAAAGCAAGAAATTTAAAAATCAACAGTTTCTTTAAAATGTATCTTCTGTCATATTTAAATATTCTACAAGCAGACTGAGCGTAACTAATTGTAACAAAATATTGGTATATTTTAGGTACTACAATTAGAGCATCTGTTCATATCAAAGTACCAAAACTGGCCGGTGACATGACCAAGTTTAAAGATTTAGCTGATAAGTACCACCTTCAAATTAGAGGTGCCGCAGGTGAACATAGTGAATCCAAAGACGGAGTCTACGATTTGTCCAATAAAAGAAGATTGGGTCTGACCGAGTACCAGTGTATGAAGGAAATGTATGACGGTATCACTGAAATTATCAAAGCCGAAAAAGCCAAGAAATAAATAATATTATTTTATGTGTTTATAGTGTTCAATTGTTTATTCAGTAGTAATTTATTTTTTATACGTTAATCTTATTTGCTATTAATAGCAAGCTGATAATTATTAAAATTATAACAATTTCCGATGACAGCAATCAATCTTTCTAAGACAAAGTTCTTTCAATCTGATTTGATATTATGACAATAAATTATAGTATCAATCTATATAAGTAAGTTAATGCAGATTAAGATATGGGATTTATTTAAAATTGCAACTGATAATATTTGAAAATGTGGAATTTTTTAACGAACTCAAAAATTCTTTTCATTAGATCATTAAAAGGCTATATCTGTTTAAAACGTTGTATTGAATATTTTTTCTTGTTTTCTTGTTGGCAAAAAGATCACTTCTATTTTTTATTTTAATTTAATAAAGTTTAATTATAAATAGGTTCATTTCATTACGACACCTTTGTTTCGTTAAAATTAATTTAATAATTAACGATGGCAGCAACCAATTTTTCTAAGACAAAGTTCTTTTCAATTTGATTCGATATTATGTACCTATACCCTGTGTGTTTGTTTTTTCTCAGGTAAGATTTCGACAGACGATGACAGAAGAAAAGCAGATGACGTCCCATACCAATCTATTTATTTTACTAAAAAAAGTTTCTAATATATTTTAAGTTAACTATGGATGGGTTTAACTATAAATCCGTCATAAGTCGTCTCTTGTTGTTTTTAACCAGTTTCATTGGTTTATTTCAAAAATGACAGATCCTATAATTTCAATTTTATTGGTTTAACGGAACGATGAACGACAAACGGACGCCGATGCGTATGAACTCGCCTTTAGATTTAAGACGCTTATCAAAGTCTTGCCAAATTATAGATTATAATTTTGTGTCAACTTATGTCAAATATCTGTGTTTTGGAATTTGGAAGATGATGCATTTTGATTCGTGTTATTACGTGTGTTTTGTGTCATTTGAAGTCAAGTGGAGGAAAAATCGGTAGAAAATTAACTGTAGACCCAGAGCACAGTGTATAGTTAATACTCGCTGCCCAGGCAGAAAGTCTTATACACCAATAAAGTAACCATCAATAAAGTTTGTATACCATCTCGTCGTAGATAAGTGCATCTCGTATATGCTACAAGAATTGTACTAAACATATATACATACTACTGGAGTAGCTGTAAAATATCGACATCACACGATAGATAAATAATGGATTTTAGTACTGCAGAAAAATAATGTCAAAAGGTACTGATTTAAAAAAAGATTAAACTTAATTAATCAGCCTTTAAGGTATCAAATTTGGCAAGTGTTATTAATAATAAAATAGTTTGTTTTATTTGTTGTTTTATTTATTCCTGTGGAATATTACAAATTTGTATTTGTACATAAGTTATATTGATAAATATAATAATAAATGCGGGAAGTTTCTTGAAGCTTGAAAGTAAGAAATACTAGTTCTTTTTAATATTTTTTTGGTATGTGATGTTTTGGTCTTGTTTGTTTTGTATTAACACATACCGATTTTTTTTAAACAACTCGATTACATTTTTTCAGTTTTATACAGTTTTTTTCACAATATTTTGAAGTAATCACTTATCAGTCAAATTTTATATATATTAATTTCCTACTATGCGTTCCAGTTGTACCAACTTATTTCTTTGTAAAATAAAATAAACTAATTTGAAATTAAAATGACAGACACATCTATCACTGTCAAGGATCTTGTTGTTGGACAGACTATACTGTAAATATATTATCAATCCAAGTAATTTATTGCAGATTAACATATCGGATTTATTTTAAATTACAACTTGTAGGTAATATTTGAAAATGTGGAGTTTCTTAAAGAACTTCTTAATACTTTTCGTTAGATCATTGAAAGACTATTATCTGTTTAAAACAATGTAGGTATTGGATGTTTTTTTTATTTGATGTCTTGTTGGCAAAAAGGTTACTTCTATCTCTTATTTCAGTTTAATAAAGTTTCATTATAAATAGATTCATTTCATTATGATACCTCCAACAAAAAAAAATATAGTTGTTTATAATGACACTCAGTATTTGGTTTGGTTTGGTTTGGCTACTTATTACATCTGAAGATGAAAAATTTTGAAAAAAATTAGGGTAAGAGATTGTGACATATTTTTTGGACTCTCTAGGTTAAAAATAGATAATACATAAGTGTTTATAACCAAAAATCGGAAATTTGATCACTACTAAGTATGCTATAAAATAAAATTAATTTACATTACACAAGGTGGTACAAAATTTTCGAAATTTATTTCTGATTGTTTCTTTTAAGTCAATCAATCAACCTGCCTTTTTTATTTCATGGTGTTTGAATTTTTTAAACTCCTTTTTAATTTTGTTAGAGGAAATACTGTCATTTTTCGGAAACGAACACGCCTAATCGCAAAAAAAGGCAGTGGTTTAATCTCTTTCTATCACTCTACTCACGTGCAGGTTTTGCTTTGTCATTCAAAGGGTCATTGTATGACAAGGCAAAATGTGGGAGTAGTGGAGGGTGACGTGGCCACGGTCATTATACTATAAATTAATATATGCAATAGAAAACAGTTATTACGTTATGTGCAAATATATGACTGATAATAACTAAGAAGAAACTTTTTTGATTTACTTACTATCATAGACTTAAAATACATTTTTTATTTTAAGTCTATGCTTACTATACTTTTTTTACTACTACGCCTATGGTGTAGGCGGTGGTATCTTACCGAATATCTTAATAATTAATTACGAAAATAATGTATTAAAATGTTAAGAGGTACAAAAAAACTAAACAAATTATTAAAAATCGCTAAAATTGTTGATATTGACGAGGTGGTGACTCATCCGTAGGCTTCAAAATGATGGCGTCTAAAGGTGCGTCCAGACTTGTGACAGAATCCCGTGTCGTAACACCGCCGCAAAGCTCGTCGCGTATAGTCTGGACGGTGCCCCGTAACTTCAACCCGTTACATCGGTGCGTTTGCAGCGTGTCGTCCAACCGTTCCATGCGTTGTCGGTTTTTCAGCGTCGCATCAAAGGAATGACACGCTATCTGGTACGGCAAGTCTGGACGAGATTTTCGCTTTATTTTCATTTTGTTCGAGGTGATGTATGGTGTGAATATAGATTGGACACAGGAGCTTACTTTAAAGTTTATTGACTTGTATAGGGAACCAGAACTATTATGGGACAGCAAAAATCCATGATGACTGTGTACTGCGTTTTGAGCTGAACACTAAAAAGTTCGCAAGAATGTACGCGACGATGTCATGATACGAGGACACGCGACGAAGTTCACCCTATCTCGAAAATGTTCGCGGCAGTGTTACGACACGGGATTCTGTCACAAGTCTGGACGCACCTTAACGTCACAAATTCTGCTACAGCGTATGTGGGCGTTACATGTCCTTGTATTCTTTAGTCATTGGAATATACAAAGCGGAGCGTCGAAAAACCGACAGAGGAAGGTTCGCGAAAAGCGGTTTGCGCGCGCTTGAAAAGAGCGTGCGCAACTTGAAAACACGTACCAATACAGGCAAATAGGTGCGCGCGCGTTTGCGGCTCAGTGCGCCAATATGTACGTATCATAATGTTACATTACAATAATATTTATCGTCAAAATAACCATATTATTAATTGGCAAAAACGGTCGCCAAATTACGTCAGTTTGTTTACGGCACCACGGTTTTGTAGAAAACCGATGTTATAGGTAGCACGCCAAACCGTCCGAGAGAATGCATTAATGCCCAAGAAGGAAATGCAGACTATTAATTTTAATACTTTTCTTCATTCTTTGTGAGGACTAATACCCCAGTCAAATTAATTAAAAAAATACTGATCGGTAGAAAAAATTCCTACAGTTTTAAAAATGGTTATAAACGATTACTCTAGACTTGGGCTGATAAGTGTCAAAAGTCCCCCAAGATAGACGATGAGCTCGAGGAATGGGGAGGAGTTAAATGTAATTGTTTTCACTTTTTTGCTTATTTCTCGGAAACTATGAGATCTGCCGAAAAACGCTCTATATATAAAAATAAAGCTGACAAAATTCTCTATAAAAATGATTTTATACATTTTTGTTCCAGGACTTATGGTTTCCGAACTATGCCCTTCATGAACTTGGATTTATATATTAGGTCAAAAAAGTGATATCCTTAGATGAAGTAAATTGTTATGTACGTGTGGATAGGTTGTAGGTTGTGAAGTTTCAAAAATCACACTTTCATACGCGCATTATTTTTCAAATTCTGCTAAGGAAGACGACTATATTGGTGAAATGGATTGGTAGTGCAGATACGTAAATATTAACACTTACGTCAACCTACCCTACACGACGGAATCGTGTAGAATATCATCACAATATACAACCTCAGGGAACTAGACCGCAAATCCTAATGCCTCAAATGCTTCGTGCTTTTAAACATTAGAAAAATCTACTGCAGGCGGGGATAGAAATCTTCAACTCTGAGCAATTATGAACCATGATTCTTGGTTTTCGTATACTTTCTGCAATATTTGCAGCTGTGCGAAATGTTGTGTGGTGTACTTCTTTTACCGTAAGGCAGGCATGCATTAACGTTGCAGCGATTTGTCTAATTTGGCTGGGCTATAAGATAAATAAATATCTAAATATTATTTCTGTGGTACTAAAACAGAACCCGATATGTCAACAGTATTTCCCATATGACATATCGGGATCTGCCTTAGTACCACAGATTTATAAACTAGGATAACTAAATAAAAAACGAGTTTAACAAATCTTATTATATGATTTATTTACTAACATCATTATAGACAAATTTGTGCGAAAATATAATAACAAAATATTTCTCTTTAAAAACATAGGTACATATTACACTGACTTAACATGTCAAAATGTTTTCACAAACGACAATACCACTGTATACACATATAAATTCAACATCAATGATAAAACGATTATTATTACTTCTTTGACAGACAAGCTTAAAACACTTGTATATCCTGATATGATTATATAATTATATTTCATAATGAATTTAATATATTATTCATAATATACATATACACTTAATAATTATTTAGGTTTACTTACTATAACAAAAATTATACATTTTGCCTTATACAGAAAATATATGAATAAAAAAAACGAATATTATCAAAGCCCTTGAAAATAAGCGCCTAGAGTATATATTATTACGGTAAGTATTAATGATTCATATACACCGATCGAGTGAGATGAAACATTAGATAAAGTAGCTTTAAAAAGATGTCTAAAGTAGATTAGTGAGGCATTTAGCAGGTTATTCATCTAGGATGCACGTTCTGACTATGGCTTCGGTTACAGAGTAAGGATCGCAGTTGGATGCTGGTCTTCTGTCTTCCAGATAGCCCTTTTTCTCTTCGGCACAGCCACGTGGAATACGAATACTTGCACCACGGTTAGCCACACCTAAACAGAAATAAATACAATTAAATATATAGTATTATTAATGAATCTAGCTAATTACTGAAGAAAATTGAATACAACACATATTTTATATTTATTTATACACATTCAGAACATCGCAATTAGTGGATTAAATTAGTGGTTTCAATTAACCTAGAAGTTTGTTCTTTTAATTCCAATGTAAGCGTGCAGAACCTCTAAATTACTGGTATAAAAATTCATATACAAGGCTGGTAGTCATTTTCAATTAGTAGAAAAAGTTAACAAACTTTTGATTTTTCCACTAATTATACCGTAACACGGCGTCAACGATGGCTATGAAATGAAGATCGCTGTCATTTTATATGTAAATTTATATGGGAAATGTCATCGATCATCATTTCCCAGCCAACTGGACGCCGTTTTTATTCGATCATACGGTACTTCAAACATACTTCATCCGTCAAGAGAAATTATGGTTAGAAATCAAAATTTTTATTTAAATATATTATATTGAATCAGCATTTCTTCCTTTAAAATTTAATGTAATAATCGGGAAAAGAAACATTTATGTCTCTGAATTATAAATGCTTATATCACAGGACTGTGAAAAAATGCACAATCGCAAGACTGCAAGACTCTTGCATGTTTGGTCTTGGTCTTGCGGAAGTCTTAAACTGATCGGTTTAACAAAACAAGACCAAGACTACAAGACCAAAACCAGTATCGCTTATCACTAGAAAGGGGCAAACACAATAGGGTTTACAAGACGCAGTATTTCCATTCCATTATACGACTCTTTAAAATAGAAAAATAACGGTCGTGGTAAATAAAGATATTAAGCATTAAGCATTTTGCACTTTTTAACTTAATGTTACAATTAAAATTTTTTGGTAAATCTTTAATGTGAATAACTATTGTAATCGCAAAACAATTTCCGATGCACGTCATCAAGCATATCGACATTGCTACTAAAGTCTATAAACCTGACTAAATAAAATTTTTGAAAAAGTGTTTAAATTTGTTCTATAATTTAAGATACCGAGCAGCTCTTCATTTTACTTTATAGTGCAAATGATTTTAACAGATATTTTATTTAGATTAAAGCTGCAAAAATTAGTTTAAACCGAATTTTATTATCGCTATGTTGGCCACATTGCGCCGTTTTCAGCAAGGCTGTCGTTTATTATTTCACAATTATCCTAATGTCAGTCACTATTTTGTATAATATCGTGGTGTTGTTGAATCTTTGTGAGTAATTCTGTTTTTTTGCCTATTTTTATAGTCTTTTTTTAAAAATTGTACTTCTAAGCACAAACAGTTCTTTTAACAACTAAATTTTCTAGTTTTTGCATTGCATTTCTTGAAATTGTTGTTGAAAATATGGCGAAGCATTTAAACAGTTGAAGCAAAGAGCTTGTAGCGTCCCTGATAAACTATTTTGAACGAGAACGTGACAATAAAGGCCCTTTATTACCCTTGACTGCAATCAGAGAAGTAAGTTTGATAAGCACATTACACACTACAAAGTTATTTCTACGTTAGTTTTTATTAAATCCTGTGATTATTAACGTTAAAATCTTTAAAAAATTATATAATAAATACATTATTTGTCACTTTTAAATTAAGATTCATGTCATAAATCCACAATCTGGCAGCGCTGTCGCCATCGCGCCATCGAAATTGTTTTACGATTACCATAACTATTATTTATGTTGTTGATATTGTGAATCTGTATTTTGAAAGAGAATCACGAACCAATTCCATTCTAATTATTTACCTGCACTAAAATCGTGGATTGATGAAGTTTCATGTCTTCCGGTAAGACGTCTTTCGTTGTCTTTTCCTCCATTAGGATCGTAGGCCTGGATGTGTCTAAGATGGTTTCTGCTCAACTTGTCAATAGCTTTTTCAATTTCCCTAAAAGAAAAACAAAATTAAGGGTTACTGTAATTGGCTGTTTCAAGAATATTATTACTATCCTCGAAAATAAAAAACAATTTCTCAAATGCTCTTATACAGTATGCCCCGGATTGTCTTTACAAGAGGAAAAACTTTTTTATTATTGATATTTTCAGAAAAATGCATTCTTTGTAAAAATGTTGCCTGTTTTAAAAATGTGAACACCGTTGATGCTTTTTCAAGTTACCATAGAGAGAAAATTGAAAAATAAGACATGAAAATATAGTTGAATTACTTTAAATCATCAAAACCAAAACGCGTTTCTATGATAATATAATTTCGTTTTCATTCCTTGATCGATTGTAGTTATCTCTGATAGATTGTTATTGATAGAATTTTAATTAAAGTCATATATTTTTGCTATTTTAAAATGTTAAGGAAGCACAAAATTTATTTAGTTCAATGCTACGGAAAGGGTGATGATTGTAATTGGAAAATGTGATACTTTATCAACAGCAAAAAATACAACGTTAATCAAAATTAATAAACTATATCAAAGAATTAAATTGAAATTATATTACCATAGAAACGCCTTTTGGTTTTTAGCACTTGAACCATATTTTCATGTTTTCTTTCAATTTTCTCTACAACTGTATGAAAATTTGGAAAAGTATAAACGGGATTAACCATTTTTTATTATTAAAAATAAAAACGTTTTCCCTCTTGTAAAGACAATCCGGCCTCATATTGTATACAAATTTGGTTAATTAAAAAAAAAATTGTTTTTCGTAATTATTTATCAAAATGATGGTGTTAATTTTAATCTTGTTGAATCGCGGGAAAATTTCTAACACTTCATAATAAAATAAATATTTTGATATACCTATCTATATGTGGTTTCAAAAATATTGCAGCAGATGATACAGACAATAATAATGACGCAAATTTATTTGATAATAGATATTCTGTAAAGCTCTGTTTAAATAATTAAACGTTTTTTAATCTCTGTTTTGACAAAACAAAATAATATCATACAATACGGCTTAATATTGTACTGGATATTATTAATCCCAACTAAAAACAAATCACAACACAAAAATAAGATTTTAAATATTCAATGTTTGAACTGATTAGGAAATCGAACAGCATACATAGACAGATAGGCTATTCCAATTTTAAAAGTGTGGTAAACACATTCAAAAGGGAACATAGCCTGAGTAATGTCAAGGTTGTAGTCGTATCATGTCTGTAGCTCGTTATTTCCAGGTAGTTTACTGAAATTTTATATGCAACTATTTTCTACGCTAACCAAAATTGGACGTAATTAAACAATATCATGTATAGAATATTAAAAATGTATATTAAGTACAATTATTGTGGTAATGACGCGCAATAACTTTGTGCTTTTATATTGTGGTATTATATAAATTTCTTTAATAATGTTATGAGGGGACTTCCCAGTTATTTTAATTTTTTGTTTCTACTTCAGGAAATTTGTATAGAGAAATTGTAATATAAATTTCACTATAGCATTCAATTCATTAAAAGTATTTGGAAGAAAATTATAATAAATAGAAAAAAAAAATAGATTTTACCCCTGTATCTACGAAACAAAGAAGCAGAATTGGACCTATGCTGATATAAAAAGTAAATCTTATTTTTACGTGAGGAATCTCCCCACGAGAGATGGCACATGTTTTTTGAAACACCCAGTGAATTAATCGAAATGTTGACAAAATACCAATCTGAGAACAAAATTAAGAACTCTTTTCGAACGAATCTAAGAAGTATTTTCCTGGCATGTCTTCAACTAAACAACTGTATCAAATAATCTTTAATTTCTACATTTTTTTTGATACTTGCCAATTTTATAAAATGTACACCTAAATAAGTGCAAAAAATTCGGGTGGTAAATAAAGAATAGATGTTTATAGATAATATATTTTTATATTCATAATTAATATAAAACAGAATGGTATTTTTTCTATAATTTCCTTCAATGAAAAAGTATAGAGTGAAGAGGAATCACAACATACATCTCTAAATCTCAATTTGTGTACAAAAACATACAGTATGCATTACTTACTAATAATGAATTTTAATTCTTTTCTTATAAAATATATATGCTAGATTTTTTTCTGAAAAAAAGTGAAAACCCTGTGAGTAACACACAAATAATTATTTTATCTAATGCAAATTGGTTAGTGGTATACACACACAAAATCGTTTTTAGTTTGTTTAGTATTGTGTATATATTGGGTGTTAAAATGTCAATAATATTACAAACTCGCTTTATTTCATAGGTATATTCAAATAACTTTGAAGGAAATTACCCAGAGGAGAAATTACCCCCTTTACCCAAAAAACACTTCATTTAGGTACATACTATATAAATTTACAATACCAGTGAGCATGAGCGTTGCCAAGGTGTCAAGTCAATACTTAATAATAATAATAATTTTTATCTTTTGATTCTAAAAGATAATATAATTTTTATACCTATCAATATCGACACGATAATAATGGAACGCTATATATATTAATTGATAGAACACCCAGCATATTATTGCGATATTCAATGGGGAATTCATGTCTCTTCAAAATACTCTTAAGGTTGTCTACCCATAAAACAAAGATATTCCTAGATATTTTTATTTTTATGATTTAGTGTTAGTAGATCTTTATTATTCCAAAAAAATCCTTTATGGGTATTTCGCCACTGCACTGCAAGAAAATCTACAAAATAAAATAATTATTTTTTGTAAACACTTCTGCGTTAAACCTAAACGGATGCTGCTTGTCAGAAGTTATGTTTATAGTAGGTAATGCAAATTTGCCTAACAAAGAAAAAAAATCCTTAACGTTTCGGAAAGTTATCTCTTTCCGTCGTCGGAAGCAAAAAAATACAAAGAATAAAGAAAAAAACTATTTAAAATATTTTATTTTATTTAAATTCAACTATTCGAGAACACTTTACTTTTTTAAAACAGATACGTCTACAAGAAACCGTTGACGTTCTGTTAAAATGACATTTTTTTTTAACTTATAGTATTGCGTATATATTAATATACGCCGTTTTTTTTCTATCATACGGTAGTTTTAATCCTATAATAATTAAAATATGTTTTAAATGTGTATCTTCTTATTACCGTTGAATATTTTATTTTACATCCTTATTTTTTGTTAAATTAAGGAATCACAGCAACCTAGATTTCCCCAAATAATAAAGATCTACTATTGCAAAATCATAAAAATTAAAATATCTAAGAATATCTTTATCTAAGGGGTAGGCAACCTTAATAGGATTTTGAAGATATATCAATTCTCCATTGAATACAGCAATAATATACTGGATGTTCCGTTTAAAATAAAGGAGTAAATTGCTTCAATATTAATTTTGTCTCACCCTGTATAACTTTTCGGGTCAAATTTTAATTCAGTTAAACATACAATAGAAATAAATTTCTATTTAGGTAGCTGCTATTTAAATTTAAAATTTATTCTCCATTTTCACAAAATGTGAAATATATCAAATGCCTTACAATTTAGGCATATGCTTCTTCAATGAAACTACTAGATTTTTTTTTCGTAAAATCAAAAAATCAATTAATATATAGGGTGTTCAATTACAAAAAAACCCTCAAAAAAAACAACTTTGAAGCGTAACTTTTTTTGGGGACACCTTGCAGAACTCTATATGTTTTTATAAAATGCTTTCAATTAACCTACTTAACCTACTAATAAACTACCGTTCTCTTCAGAACCTCCGCGTCGTATGAGAGGTGCCACCCTGTATAAGATAATGTAAATTTTCCTTAGCGGATTTATACTTTTATCTTTTTGGGACACGCTGTATACAACAAAATATTTTTAAATATTTCCCTCTAAAACTCTGCAATATCTGTATAAAACTTTTTTTCATACCTTCCAATTACACAAACCAAACCAAAACAACGACGACAATTTTGGACTTCCTCGTACTAATTGGCCACCCTGTATAAGATCAAATTTCTTATGATATACTTACAAAATACCTCCATCTTCTCTCATGGCTTGTGTGGAGAAATTGGTATGAGCGCCAGCTCCATTCCAGTCTCCTTCCATAGGTTTAGGATCAAAGGTAACAATTACACCGAAATCTTCTGCAACTCTGTGAAGGATATATCTTGAAACCCACAATTGGTCACCTATCGAAATACCTTCGCAAGGTCCAACTTGATATTCCCACTGAAACATGAAATTTGTTGAGTTATTAAAATTGAAAGTGTCATGGTTATAATCAATCATTAGTCAATAGTAATAAAAATATATTATGTTGTGTTCAGCATTTAAAATTTTATATTTCTGATATTTATTTTTAAATTGGTACTGTCGTTCCTATTATCTATAGGTACTAATATATAAAATCCTTAAGTGACTGACTCACTGATTAATCATAATCCTGCTCAAACCACTCAACGTAAGAAGCTCAATTTTGGCATACAGGTTGATTCTAGGGTGTAGAGGTTCGATAAGAAGGGATTTTTAGAAATTCCAGTTCCAAGGGGGTGTAACCACCCCTCAAATACTACAATATTTTTTATTTAAAAAACGGTCAAGTTTCCGAAAAAACGTTTAAACACGTATATTTTATTTTGTTTTTTACATATTTTAAAATTTTTAAAAAATATATACAGGGTGTTTGGAAAAATCTGGTCATTGATTAATCACGATCCTGCTTAAAGCGCTTGACGTAAAATGCTGATTTTTGGAAAACGGATTGACTAAGGTGTAGAGGTTCGATAGGGATTTTTCGAAACTCGAATTCTAAGGGGGCGAAACCACCCCTCAAATATTAGAATATTTTTTATTTAAAAACCGGTGAGTTTTTCAAATATTACAATATTTGTTAATTAAAAAACTGTTAGTCTTTCGGGAAAACGCTTGGACACGCATAATTTTTTTTACATATTTTGAAATTTTTTAAATAATCATACAGGATGTTCCAAAAAGTTAGGTAATTGATTAACCACGATTCTGCTTAAACTGCTTGACGTAAAAAGCTTATTTTTGGCAAACGGATTGTTCGAAAGTCAAATTCCAACGAGATGAAACTACCCCTCAAATCCAGCCTCAAATATTACCAAGTTATATAATAATATCGCCATATTGTTTTTTTCTCATGCTGACATAAATGTGAGAAAATTTTATCCAGTTTGTATGTTAATGGAAATTCTTGCTTTGCTTTATCATCACCATTACAAATGATTAATTCGACGCGAACGAAGTCGCGGGTACACGCTAGTAATTTAATATAAATATTAAATATTAGATGATATTACGTAGATATTCTAAAAATATTAAACCTTTTGTAAATATAAAATTATTATAGTACATATTTAATATGTAACACAATCTACAGCGTACATTGTTTATCTAACGCAATTATTGTGAGAAAAATATTCCACTATAATTAGACCTCCACGTAATTTATATGAAACGACTCTCAACTGTTTAGATGTCTATTATTTCAATAAACACCAATTACGGCAAGTAGGAAGTTAATTTATATAGTTTATCGTTCGTTTCAAAACATGTAGGTACAATTGCATTGAATAACATCACCATTGGAGCTAACAAACCAACTAGCAGAAAGTTTTTTTATGAAGTTCAAAGTGTTATGTTTTTTTTTACTTTTTCCTCTATTTTTATTATTGTTTTAGAAAACTGTATACAGGGTGGTCCGAATTGCATTCCGGAAACTTCGGCAGCATATTCTGCAGGTAAAAATAAGTAAAAAAGTTCGTATAAATGTATGTCCTAAAATGCTTCGTTTCGGAGATACAGGGTGTTTGGTTTGGTTTGGTTTGGTTTTTAATTCAAAGTTTAATTTTTAATTCGATTTTTTCCAAATAATTTCCGAACTAATGTCGATATTGAGATGAAAATTGGTGTCTGGGAGTTTTTTGACATGAGAAATTTGATTTTCGTGTCAATATGACTCCTACTTGTAGAGGGCGCCACCTAAATATTTTTAACTGGTTTGAAGAGTAATATCTTTTCGTCCGTACCTGAACAAGACTACCGAGTAAAAAAATATACATTTACAATATTTTTTACGTAAAAAATATATCTTGGTAAAAATCGCTGCAAGGAATGGTTTTCAAGATATTTGGAATCGAAATTATCAATACCTGTCATCGTTGACATAAATTAAAAATGTTGACTAAATAGTTATTAGACTGAAATCATAAATTTTAAATATTTTGTGCCAAAAGTTCAACAGAAGCTGTTTTATTAACATTTTTTCACAAAAAAATATAATTAATTTAAAAAAGTAAAAATTTTACAAATTTATTATTTCAGTCAAATAACTATCTACTTAGCGTGTTTATTGTCAATAATGATGATCTGTATTGACTATTTCCATTCTAAATATCTTGAGAACAGTTGCTCGTAGCGATTTTTACTAAGAGACATTTACAGTTGAGGGTTGGAACCTTTGGTGTTACACAGCATCCAGTGTAAAACACGCACGTCCAGTGTAAAAGGAAAAGTGTTTTGGTGTATTGTGGTGATTTAGTGTTTTATTTACTAAGAGATATTTTTTACGTAAAAAGTCGGAAATGTATATTTTTTCACCTAGTAGTTTTATACAGGTGCGGACGAAAAGTTATTACTCTTCAAAACAGTTAAAACTCGTGTAGGTGGCGCCCCCTACAAATAGGAATCATATTGATATAAAAATCAAATTTCTCATGTCAAGAAACTTCCAGACACCAATTTTCAACCAAATATTGACGGTCCTTCAGAAACTATTTGGAAAAAATTGAAATAAAAATGAAACTTCTACACCCTGTATCTCCGAAATTAAGCATTTTAGGACATATATTTATACCAACTTTTTTACTTATTTTTATCTGCGGAATATGCTGCCGAAGTTTCCGGAATACAATTCGGACCACCCTGTATAAATCTATCAATTTTAATTTATAAACTCAGTTTTTTATAAACTTTAGTATTTGGCTTATTATTGAGGGTTAATTGAAGGCTTGTTTTTTTACTTTAACCTTAACACCCTGTGCAATAATTTCGTGAGTAACTTTTCCTAAAACATGGTTTTTCAATCAGAACCATGTCTCCTGAGCATTTTGTTTTTTGACTCATGTCAATACATGCCTTGGTTAATTTTTAAGCGCAAAATGAACTTTGCAATTAGCATTTTTTTCAATTCTCTATCATTGCATTATGATGTTATTTTTTAATATCACGAGGTGGCATTAGTGACTATTGTAATGTAAAATCAACACTGATTAGAACTCTGTAATAAAATTAAAAAAAAAAACGTTAAAAAGCAACGATACAGGCTTGGTTTTAATTAATATTAGTAGCACTATAAGGACATCAAAAAAATACCTGTAATAACTAAGCGTATAAACAAACAAAAAACTTGTAAAAAATAGTCTAATAATTTGTATTGCCTCCCTCGGCTGCTACGAGCCCTGTCTCAGTGAAATTGGCCCAACCACCAAAACGATGTTTTTTTTAGAGAGATTTGCCAAATTAATGAGAAATATCAAAAACTATAATATACTAGCGTGTACCAGCGACTTCGTTCGCGTCAAATTAATCATTTGTAATGGTGATGATAAAGCAAAGCAAGAATTTCCATTGACATACAAACTGGATAAAATTTTCTCACATTTATGTCAGAATGAGAAAAAACAATATGGCGATATTATTATATAATTTGGTAATATTTGAGGGTATTGACTATTTCCATTCTATCTCTTTTCATCTCGTTGATTATCTCTTTTCATCTCGTTGAAAAATAAGCTTTTCACGTCAAGCAGTTTAAGCAGAATCGTGGTTAAGAAAATATCCAACTTTTTGGAACACCCTGTATAATTTTTTAAAAAATTTCAAAGTATGTAAAAAAACCAAATAAATTATGCTTGTCCAAGCGTTTTCCCGAAAGACTAACCATTTTTTAAATAACAAATATTGTATCTAATATTTGAGGGGCGTTTTCACACTCTTGGAATTTGAGATTCGAGAAAGCCCTCCTTATCGAACCTCTACACTCCACAGTCAATCCGTTTGCCAAAAATCAGCTTTAAACGTCAAGCAGTTTAAGCAGAATCGTGATTACTCAATGGTCATATTTTATGAAACACCCTGTATAAATTTATAAAACATTTTAAAATATGTAAAACAACAAAATAAAATATACGTGTTTAAGAGTTTTTCCGAAAATCTCACCGGTTTTTAAATAAAAAATATTTTAATATTTGAGGGATAGTTTCACCCCCTTAGAATTTGAGTTTCGAAAAATCCCTTCTTATCGAACCTCTACACCCTAAAGTCAATCTGTTTTCCAAAAATCAAGTTTTTAGGTCAAGCGCTTTAAGCAGGATCGTGATTAATCAATGACCAGATTTTTCGAAACACCCTGTAAACATTTTTAAAAAATCTTAAAATATGTAAAAAAAACAAAATAAAATATACGTGTTTAAGCGTTTTTTCGGAAACTTGACCGTTTTTTAAATAAAAAATATTGTAATATTTGAGGAGTGGTTTCACCCTCTTGAAATTGGAATTTCGAAAAATCCCTTCTTATCGAACCTCTACACCCTAGAATCAACCTGTATGCCAAAATTGAGCTTCTTACGTTGAGTGGTTTGAGCAGGATCGTGATTAATCAGTATGTCAGTCACTTAAGGATTTTATATATTAGTATAGATTTCTTATAACATACGATATTTTTATTCATTTGTAACCTAAAATACTAATTTTTTGTATGTATTGAGAAAAAATGAGAAAACATGTGTCACAAATTAAAAATAGTGTCAATTAAAACAAATCAACGAAACCAAATAACATCAAATTACTACTGGCACTGTTTGAACCGACTTTTCGAGTGATTACTGCTTCGATACGTCTTGACATAGTATCAACTAATGTTTTGCAGTCAATTGACGTAAATCTATTCTAAATTTCTTGAAGACGCGTTCGCAATTCTGGAACCTTTCTTCATGATATGCCACAAGATTTCAGCGACAAATCTGGGCTTCTGGACGTCCATTTTAAGAGTAAAATATTGTTTTCTAACATCCAATCTTATACCTTTTAGCCGTAAGTATGACAGACCCCATCTGGTTGGAAGATGCATTTGATATTATTTAAACGCATGTGTTCAATTTATTGATAAATTCACGTATATAATGTTTTGGGGGGTTGTTTGGGCC